TCTGGGTCAGAAATAATTTTTTCACCCATTCGTCTTACTTCGCTAAGGCCAATGATATCCCATTTAATTGGTTTCAATGCATTTTTTAATTCTATAAGGCTTTCTTCATTTTTTATTGTGCGAACGTTAAGGGCTGCGATATTAATTGTTTCTTTGTAATTGTTTTCGTACTTGTTTTCGTGTGTTGTTGAAGGGTTGTGGTCTTTGTCCCCCACGAGGACCAGTCGGCTTGGGGGAAGATTTATTTTTCCTGTTTGTTTGTTTTCGTAGCTTGTTTGAGTTTTCCGTTTATCGGTTGGTTGCTATTGTTTATTAGGTGTGGGTTTGTTTATCAAGGGGTTTGGTCTGGGTCTCGCTGTATCGAAGACATTCCTGTTATTTTTGGCAGAGCTAAGGGTAGGCTGTTTTTTGGGTTGAGCTTTCGAAGGTGATGGTGAGGTTGTCGGTTCCCTTTTCCTTTTTTCAGCGTTTATTTCTTTGACTACTAATTTATCGAACTTCAGAAAAGCTATATTACCTTTCTCTCTCTCTTCTTTTAGTCGCGGTAATAGTGCTTTCCTTGCCTCCAAGACTTCTTTCGAGTAATCGTTTGTGATATAAATATTCTTAAGATTCTTTCTGTTTTTCATGATTTCATCTTTTTTCCATGTATTTATAAAAGAGCAAAGCACTGGCCTTGGTTTATTCTGAACTTTCTTTTTTCCTAGCCTGTATAACTTGTTTACTTCGAATTGCTCCATATTTATGTTTAGGTCTTCTTTCAAGGTCGCCTTGACGCCCTCGAATAAATCCGTCCTCGAAATTTCTCCCTCTTCTAACCCGAAAATAATAATGTTGTTATCTTTCTTTTCTTTTTTTAAATATTCCAGCTCCTTCTCTAGATCTTTTATTTTTTGTTTTAATTGTTGGTTTTCTTCTATGATAGGTGTAAGTTTTTCATCCATTCTATCCATTAAGTTTTTTGTGATTGATTCGGTTAGTTCAGCTGTTTGCTTCTGCATTTCTAACTTCATGTTATCAAACAATAATTGGAATTGATCGTTCATATTTAATGCGAAATAGCGTGAAACGGAACGTAGTAGTTTTAAATGTACTAATGTTCCTTTTCTTCAATCACATTCGCTTGCGGTATTACCAACTTAATAAATCGAAACGAGATAGGTACCTATTTATCATTCACTGGTGCCAACTCAAATTATGATGATATCCGATTATACTTTGCCATTCATTCGTTCCCTGCAGATAATGCCAACTTTGAAAACTTAACAATATGACATTCAGTAATTTGACGTTAATGAAGTTTTTTTTGTAATATTGTTGAATGTTCTAACCTCAAAATGTTTTTGTGGGTTTTCTTCTGCACTTCTTCTAGATATATCTCGTTCGTAGTCCAGTATTTCCTTCTTTCTGTATTCACCGAAGTGTCACTTTCGTGGTTGGTTATAGTATTGACGGCTAAGGTGACTTTAAACTATTTATTTCTAGCAATTTATTGCGGATAGAATCTCAGTAATGTTTACGTCCCAGAGACCGGAAACGGAAAGCTCCAAGAGTTACTGAATTCTAAAAATAAATAAATCCGATCCGAATGGGATGATTAATATTTCGAATCTCCCTTCCTATCGTAAGGGGTACTATTTACAGCTTCCTCTTGATATGAGGGCACTGGAAGTGACGTGAAGTGTTTTTATTTATTCTTTATATTCCAGTGTTCATGTTTAAGTAATTGTGGCTTCAAATTCTTAGGAGAGGTCTTTGAAACCGTCTTTTTAAGTTTTCATTGTTCAATTGTTATACTATAAGATTATTTTCTTTTTCTATCTCTTTGATTTTAGTTTTATATTGATCTTATACAATCGAACCCATAAAACTATGTTACTAAAGAATTGTATTGTGAACCTGACTGAAATAGAGTTGTCTATGGAGTTTCTTGCTCGTTCTTCTGCACTTTTAAACTTTTTGTTGACGTTTAAAAGTGTCTTTCTGGTCCAATTGATGTAAATTATTTTGACTTTGACTTCTTCTATCTGCCCATATTTTGAGCTTAAGGTCGGTAAATCATATACTCTTTTATCATATATTATATATTCACCACTAAAATAATCATCAGAAGGGAAACACCTTTAATCAGCTGTGGACGTCTTTAAACTGATGACTAGAATCACCAATTTATTTTCCTTTTTTAAAGACACCAATACGTATAAATTAATAAGGTATTTCTGAATCTTGTTCCGAGTTCAGTAATTCCGGTAGACTCCAAGTAAGATGTTTACATTGAATAGGTACTTGAACATTGTTCTTTACGTCTTTAAGCTGTTCTGTACGATGTATGTACCTTGCTCTTTTATGTTACTCTTATTTTTTAAGCATTTTGTCCCAATTACCCTCCTTCGCATCCCCATCTCCGAAACCCCCACAATCCCTTAAATTCCCAAACCCAAAAGGCCGGTAACGCACTTGTAACGCCTCTGGAGCTTCAGGAGTCCATGGGCCGTATTGATTGCTTACCATCAGGTGATCCGTCTGCTCGTTTACCGTCTTACCCCATAAAAAATATTAAAAGAAATTTAAATCATGTTATATTCTGATTGCTTTACTTACCCTGAGTAAAGGAAAACCTCTCACGACCTACTTCTTAAAAATCCAACATCTCCCAAACAGAAGTATGCCCACCAACCCCAGAACTCTTCACCACTAATAAACCCGGTGCGAAATCATGAAAAAACTTCCCTAAAATCAAGTCAACGGTAAATAATCAAAAAACATTATTCACAAAACAAAATTTTCCAAAAGGCCATCGCCTTAAACCTTGTTAAACAACTTTAAAAACGCCACAATACAAATTTGTTCCAAACAGGTAACTTTTGTTCGGTCGCCATTAAAATGAGGACGCGGAAATTTTCATAATTAACAATTTGCTGGAAGGAACTTGGGTGGCAATCCATCAATTTTGCACAGACTTTGAAAATCAATTAGAAGGAAGAAAGACTAAGTTTATTTCAGTCTAAAAGGTACTGTTCAGTGTTGGGACCTTAATGTACTGAGTACCGTGTGAACACTGAATTAAGTTACAGTATTTGCATTGCATGAGTTTTCTTTTTAAAGTCGATTTTTCTCCGACTCCCGTTTGTACAAACTTTGAGTTTGGTTTCGGAAAGTTTTCCATCTTGCCGTTTTCCATTGTGTGGCTTTGAAGAAAAAACACTCACGTGTTTCAAAATGATTATTTGAATGTGCACAATTCGTCACATTTACCTACCTATTTTAATAAACGATCATCATAACATTGCGTTTTTTATCCCCGAAAGGGTAGGCAGAGATTCACATTACGGCATTTAATGCCACTGTGCAATGTAACACCCACTTTTTTCACTATTTTTGTTATCAGTCATATCTAATAGGCGGTGAGCCGATTGCCATATACCGGGCACAATTCCAGACTCCGTGCTACCACTGAGATTTTTTTAAAACCCCAGTTTAATACTTTGACCGACCCGTGAATAGAAATGCGACCACTCAGTCAACGAAAGTTTAATAAATGATGTAACATTGTATTGTACTGAATCAGTTTTTAATACAAACAACAGCTACTACTACAGCTATAAAAATAAAACAAACAAAACAGAACCCTAACACCAAAACAATACATTACATTTTAAATACCGCCAAAATCTATAATTTATCGTAATAATATAAATCCAGGGTTACTGGCCAATATTATTACCATTTCCATTCTTGCCCAACAATCGACCATGACCCTTGAAATAAAGGGTTAAACTGGGATTTATTACCATAAATCAAATAGGTAATCTCAATGCTTCCCCAGATATAAATCTAAATATTGAATATGTCGACCCGAAAGGGAAAGTAAAATATTCATGGAAAAATCGCCTTTATGATTAGTAGTACCGTGAGTTAGGTATAGACGTATTGGATCTAGATTTCAAAATGAAATATAACGATGTGCCTATAACTGTAGATTTTTTTATAAAGGGGGACAATCATAGAATGACTGGGTGAGGCGGGAGGGAGTGTCAGACTCTTACTGACTATAAACCACCCCGTTCCTTCTCCTGCACGTCGATCCGGAGCCCCGGTTACCCGTTAGGTTCTCCGCGACATAACTGTAGAATAGAATATGTTTAAGTGATATCTCAAACGAGTAACTATAATGCATAGCTTCCTTCAGTTCCAAATTATTATTAAAACATTGTAGATACGACGACTGCATGGTTGGTGTGGTGGCTGGGCAACTGATTGGGCCGATTTCACTAATCCTTTTTTTTATTGTATTTTTTATTATTAGCCCATAAATCACCAAGCGGTCACCGGTGACCGCTTTCCACTAATATTACATTACATTATAGACCTTATTTGTAATGTTTAGAGACTACTTTTGTATGACCAAATTTAGGGGGTGGATTTCAACGGGTTAGAAAAAGGTTAATAGGACAGAAAAAAACCGGAAAATCCTACGGGAACGGGAGAAAACGGGATTGCGCGTATGAAGTCGCGGGCAGAAGTCAATTGTCGAAGATAATTTCGAAGATGTTATCTAATAGTACTGTGTGTTAGGTAAAACATGTAAAAAATTCAAGATGAATATAAGTATGTGGCTGACTTTTGTATTTCTATATTATTTTATAAATACAATATCACGCCTTTTATCCCCGAAAGGGTAGACAGAGGTGCACGTGCACTTTACGACACTTAATGCCAATGTACATTTACACTCGCTTTTCACTATTTATGTTATGAGTCTCATGTAATAGGGGGTGAGCCTATTCTCATATACCGGACACAATTCCAGACTCCATGCTACAACTGAGAATTTCTTAGGCCTATAGTACTTTGCTCGATCCGGGAATCGTACCCTTGTCAGGTAGTCGTACTTGCGATCACTCGACCAACGAGGCAGTCATCTTTAATTGTTCACTTTCTTTGATCGAATAATGATGACAAATTCATAATGACGAAATAGAATTAAGAAGATATTAAGCCTGTATAATTTATTGTTATTATGTAACAGCTGTGATTAATGATCTGATAGAGAGGAAACGTCCCCCTTTTCCTCTTTTGAGAGATTGATGAATGCGGAAGAAGTAAAAGATGCACCCCGAGATAGGTAAGTGGGGTAGAAGTTCATTGCTTAACATAAAATATCGAATTTGACCATTTATAACACATAACGTTATCGATGCAAATACTGAATAACAGTTACCGTTGTTCATGTGGAATCAAGTAACAGGTATTACAGGTAACAGTTGCTTACGGCATTAACTTACGCATTTAATGCATGAATCTCAATTATTTAAAAGCACTTGGTCTCGTGGGTACAAGTACCTAACACGTTCCACAGATAACAGTTATTATAATGGGTAAATTACACTTCCAGTTCAAATAACAGCCATTTATATCATTACCCGTTAGATATCGGAACTACATAACAGAGTCTGTACTCAATACCTGTTATAATTTGTAACTGGTATTGAGAACTGTGATTTTAACGGAACAGTAACACGAAGAACAATTATTATGTTTGGCCAACCTAAAAGATTAATACACCAGTCTGTACTCAATACCTGTTATAATTTGTAACAGGTATTGAGAACTGTGATTTTAACGGAACAGTAACACGAAGAACAAGTATTATGTTTGGCCAACTAGTTCTTATTGTGACAGTGAGATATATGGTAAGTGTAACCTGTATCCAAGGCAACAAGTGTAACATCTTAGAGTCTATTTTGTCTTGTTTAGGCATGTTTGTGTCTGAGTTTGTTTTGTTTTTTATTTTTATGACTACGATTGTTTTATATTAGGCATAGATAAATAAGGTAAACGAAATGTATGTGACTCCTTGGCCGGGTTAGACAAAGTAATACTAGCAATTTTTTTTAATTTTCAGTAGTAGCACGGAGTCCGAAATTGTGCCCGATATGACAATAGACTCACCTATTACATGGGACTCACAACATAAATAGTGAAAAGTGGGTGTTACATTGTACAGTGGCAATAAGTGCTGTAGTGTGCACCTCTGCCTACCCCTTCGGATATAAAAGTGATGTTATCTCATGTTATGTGAATGAGACGTCAATTGGCTTTTATTAAAAAAATATCGTTATT